AGAGCACTTCAGCTTGCCCTTCCTCTGACCCCATTCTGCACATACATGTGCACACATGCTTTCTTCTTCTTCCTCCTGCTTTCCCCCTTGTAGGAAGGACTGAGAGAGGGAGAAACCCCTTTGTTGTTTGGGTAGACATTAAAGAGAAGGCTTTTTGTAGACTGTATTTGGCTTGTCCAGGAGGAAAGATATCTTGATAAACTCTATCTTGCAAGAGCTACTTGAGTCTTCCCCCCTTAATTGGATTATAAATGTGGTGTTATATTCTAATCCCATGCACCAAGGAAAATTAAAATAAAAACTGCAACTGATAAGAGTCTCCACTAGGCTGTGTTGTGTCCATGAAGAGACTTCTCTGTTGTAGAAAGAGAACGTATGCAGGGAATACAGTCTGTGTGTTGCAAAAAAAAAAAATCTTATTATCTTTGTTGTATTCCTATTCTTACTGGAAGGGTGTATAGTCCTCTACTTGCACCCTCCCAATCCTGAATTAAAGTACAAGTCACCTATCACAAGGGGTTTCTAAGTGGATGGCAGGAATAGAGGTGCTGTTTAAAAGCACTTTTGTCAAAACATTCTTAATACATCTTAAAATCCTTTTCAATGTGTTTTGTTTTGTTTACACTCTGTTAAATACAATGTTATTGGCATTTTTCTTTTATACTGAAGGAAGCAGCAGTTTGAATAAAGTATTAGGGAAGGGAGCCAAATCCAGTGACAGTTTTCACCTCATTTAGTTCCACTGATTGCACAGGTGTTTCATCAGTGACTTCAGTGAGAATTGCATCTGTGTGAATGAGAATGCAATGCAGCCGGCATTGATATTTCTCAAGCCTTTTTTGGATCACAAAATCTTCAAGGTCTGTTGTCAGGCTCACCTGAAACATAAAGGACAGGGCAGCTTGGAAAGCTTCATGCATAAAATTTCTCTTAATACTTTTTGGCCCTATTTCTTCCCCCACAAATCAGATTAAGGTGCATTTGTTGTTGGACATGCACTTGTTCTTTCCACCTCCGTAGCATTTAACAGAATTCAGTCTGGTTATTGAACAGCTGGGTAGATTCACTCTGAACAGATTAATAGAGTTGCAAATACTTCCAAATATGTGACTGACCAAGAAGAATTGGCATATTAGATTTGGTCTTGCCATCCGTGTGTATTGTTTCCCACTCTTTAGAAAGAAAGCAAGCAAGCAAGTAAGCAAGCAAGCAAATGAAGTCCTGAACCAAAAGTATAGAAACAATGAGGGTTTTTGCCTAACTGCTTTTTCAAATTTGAATAATAGGAAGGCATTTGTATTTCTGTATTCACTTGGATTAGTCTTGAGAGCATGTGCTTTTATCTCTTTTTTTCTTTATTATTCCTAAACGTTCAGTATATTCCAAATTGATTTTCCTTTTTTGCATATGTTATGAAATATGCATCCCATTCAGACAAAGAATCTACATTTCCATGACAGATATTTATTCTGAAAGGATTTACCAGGACCAAAGGCATGCTTGCTTAAACACTCATTGACAACTCCAAGAAAAATCATATAGGCGCTTAAACATATCACATTACATACCTCTTTACGTCTTCTTAAAAAGCACATTATCCTACTTAATCCCCTGCAGGCTTTCCTACCACTAGAACGATTACTGTTAAAAATATAATGAAACACTTCCTTTGTGCCCTTGTCTGATCTTTCGCCCCTTGAGAATAATAGTGCCTAATGCTCTACCCTACCCACCTTGTTCCTCAGTGCATGATATTCTAGCCTAAAGCACCTGAATTTTTCTCAGCAGCATGAAGTGGAAAATTCCTTTCTCAAGCTGCATAGCCAGAATCATAATGTGTCTAATACCTCTGTATATTTAACTCAGTATACATGCTATTTAGCCTGTAAGAAACTGGTGAATTACTGTCAAGTGAAATAATATTCATGGAGTGTGCAATAAAAGATACTTGTCTTTGCTTCTTAAGTCTAAAACAGTAATAGTCTTCCTTGCATACAGATGCAGGCAATATCAAAAAAGTTTCATCCTGAGTTTATTGAACAAATATTCCCTTTAACTCCTTTTGACACTGCAGGAAAAACCATGTGAGCAACAACTGCTAGCTCAGTTTGCCTAATTGCAGTGTATAGAATTATATTTTTCTGAGAATATGGTTATAGCAGTATTATAGCTCTTATACCATGATATAACCTACCTAACATGGCTTAGTTCTGCTGATTCCCACAGGAAAAAAAATACTGTCAACAATGGTCAGGGTAACTGTAAGAGAACCATGTTAGCAACACCCAGCATTGGTTCTGGTTATTGTGAATATGTTTTCAACAGTACTACGGGCAGAAAAAAATTCTGCTTCTGTGGATGGAACCAGAAATCCTCCTGGATGTGGTAACTGACTTACTAATTAATCCTCTAGTTCAGCTCTAGTGACAGGTGTGGTAATCAAACTGAAAAACCAAGGAACACATGTGGGCTTATAGATCACTGCTGTGACCAGCTGCAGTATTCACTACAGCTGGAGTTGGCAAATTAGAAGACAATGGAAGAGAAAGTTAATCAAGGCAAAGTAAAGAAATGTCTTGTGCACTAAGATGTTTTGATTTCTACCTGTAAGCTAGCAGTCCCAGGAGACTGGATCCTTTGGGGTCTGGAGGTGGGTCAGCAAAATACCCAGTGTTCTTGTCCCAATGTAGCATTACAGGCTTTCACAAGGCCTTTAACCATTTTGGCCACTGCAGTCTGTCCAGTTATGTATGTAGCAGCTCAAGTTGGTGTGAGGAAGATGGTAAGAATAAATGAATTGAATTGATGCTAAGAATGAAAGGTGAATGAAAATGCTGCAACTGTACTTTAATTCAGCAGACACCCTAATTCTTTACCAATTCACAGAAGAGCTCCAAAATACCTCTCACAGTAGAGTACTAATTAACAAGCCTTGTACAGATACCAGAGTTCCTCTTACAGGAAGGTAATCTGGTATCACTACATAGATGGATGAGCATTTTGACTATGTTCAGGATTATCCTCTGGGTTTTTATAGTTTGGGCTTTGCAGCTGAAAATGAAGTTTACTTACTTTGCAATTGCCTTCTCCTGTCCAGTCCATGACTTGGAGCTGACAGGGCCCTGAGGATATAAAACACACCTGCTCTACACTTGTTTGAATAATAGTAGGTGGTCTGGCTGTGTCTCTTCATATAACCTCATTTTTCTGCTGAGCAACTATCAGCATAACACCTGAGCCAGATTTACCAGTATAACACTG